TGTCTACTCTCCACATTAATCATTTCAGCTTGTCTACTCTCCACATTAATCATGTCAGCTTGTCTACTCTCCACATTAATCATGTCAGCTTGTCTACTCTCCACATTAATCATGTCAGCTTGTCTACTCTCCACATTAATCATGTCAGCTTGTCTACTCTCCACATATTCATGTCAGCTTGTCTACTCTGCACATTAATCATGTCAGCTTGTCTACTCTCCACATATTCATGTCAGCTTGTCTACTCTCCACATTAACCCTATCAGCTTGTCTACTCTCCACATTAATCATTTCAGCTTGTCTACTCTCCACATTAACCCTGTCAGCTTGTCTACTCTCCACATTAATCATGTCAGCTTGTCTACTCTCCACATTAATCATGTCAGCTTGTCTACTCTCCACATTAACCCTGTCAGCTTGTCTACTCTCCACATTAATCATGTCAGCTTGTCTACTCTCCACATTAATCATGTCAGCTTGTCTACTCTCCACACATTCATGTCAGCTTGTCTACTCTCCACATTAACCCTGTCAGCTGGTCTACTCTGCACAATAATCATGTCAGCTTGTCTACTCTCCACATTAACCCTGTCAGCTTGTCTACTCTCCACATTAATCATGTCAGCTTGTCTACTCTCCACATTAATCATGTCAGCTTGTCTACTCTGCACAATAATCATGTCAGCTTGTCTACTCTCCACATATTCATGTCAGCTTGTCTACTCTCCACATTAACCCTGTCAGCTTGTCTACTCTGCACAATAATCATGTCAGCTTGTCTACTCTCCACATTAATCATGTCAGCTTGTCTACTCTCCACATTAACCCTGTCAGCTTGTCTACTCTACACATTAATCATGTCAGCTTGTCTACTCTGCACAATAATCATGTCAGCTTGTCTACTCTCCACATTAATCATGTCAGCTTGTATAATCTCCACATATTCATGTCAGCTTGTGTACTCTGCACAATAATCATGTCAGCTTGTCTTCTCTGCACAATAATCATGTCAGCTTGTCTACTCTCCACATTAATCATGTCGTTCTGTCAACCCGTCAACTTTTCACATTACCCCTGTCAGCTGGTCTATTTTCCACGTTAGCCATGCTATCCTATCCACTTTCCATATTCACCAAGCCAGCTTTTCTACTTTCCACATTAGCAACCACATCATCAGCTTGTTCGTGTATATCAAGCTACAGCCGCAGATTCTACAGAAACTAGACCAATGTATTTATAGTGCACACACACACACACACACACGCACACAACATAAAGCACTAATCAGTAATGTATTCACTCTGTGTAAGCTAGAGTACTGGTCGTCATTACCTGTTTCACAGTGACTTTTTTTTTATATTATAGCCCCACCCTGGATAGACTTAGGTTGCTTCTTTATCACCAAGGACACTAATATATAACTTAACGACTGAACGCTGGTTTTTATTACTTGACGGGGGGGGGGGGGGGGGGGAGGAATTCTCATTATAGTAATGACCCACTGCCCTTTGCGTCACAGGGTTTGATAATGGCGCAGTTTGCGGTCCTAATCAGATTCAATTTCACTCACTCATTCATATTGAATCAAATTAGCAACTAAACCATCAGAGACGCTTTACGTAAGTAACCGTAAGTCCCAACCCGTTTTTAGCTAAATATTTCTTTTCTTCAAAGTTTATTGTATATATATAGCGCTAGCTAATTAGAAAAAGTCATAATACAATTATAACACAATAGGGTAGTTTGACGTCAGTTTTCCCAAATAGAGTAGGTCACTTTTCATTCACAAGTTTGTTAGGCTGGTCGATTTTCCTGAAGGTTACGGGTGTGTCCTGCTCTGTTGTTTGGTTTGTGCGATGTCTTGCATTTACGTTTTCATTCCGAGAAAGAAAATGCATGGGACATAGGTTGCAGCACTCTCTAGAGGGATGTGTTTCCTTATGTTTTTGGAGTGTTCAAAGCGCTGGCGTGCTGAAATATGCAATACGTGATATCAACGACCTTGCGGAACACCCCAGTAACCTTATGCGAAGGTCACGGTGCTCCTGAACTTCCAATTAGATGTGAGCTAGTGTGTATATGGGCGAGGTCTGGTGAGACTAACATTACTTTTACCACACAATTTAAAAAAAAAAAAAAAAGCGCTGGTGAGCTGTTTGATTCAAATGAGCTAACTGTTTTGAATCCATTATTGCTTGATACATTCACATTTCAGAAAGGAGAGGCAGAAACTAAAATTTCCGTGGATAACATAGCCAAATTTGTGAGTTGGGGAGACACGTTTAAGAAACGACTATACTTGGATAGTGAGTACATCATTTTTTTTTTATTTTTTTTTTATTTTGACTCAATTATTGTAATTCACTCGGCCATACTGGGTTCCTTCAAGGAAACGAAGAATCTTCGTCTTCGTCTGCGTTCACCACTAAAAGTTCGACTGGGTTCTTTTCTGTTATTTCACCACATCTCGGGGCCCTTAAGATTTGCTAGGGAATTCCCCAGAACGTCCAATAGTATAGGGGGGGGGGAGGAGAGACAGAGAACTGAGGTTATGGTTAGTGTTAAATGAATAGCCACAACTACTAAGCCTCCAGAATTTGGGTAAGATTTAAATTTTATAGTCAAATCGACACTCCATAGGGGATGTAAGTATCACACCAGCCACTGTTACTTCCCAGACCTTTACCTGATACCCATTTAAGTCTTTGTCGACCTGCGAGCCAAAGTCATTTTTAAAAAGATGCCAGGACCGGAACGTACGCTTTTGGTATCTGCAGGCGAGAATCTAGCCGCTACCCCACGACGGCTCCTATCCTATTGTAACGTGCGAAGTGGAATGGCCTTTTTTTGGTCCCCAGTGATACCTCCAGGACTTAAGAAGCCACTAATATTTGTGTGTGGGTGCAATTGGAATTGAAAGACGAGTGCCCATCGAGGCGTGAGGGTTGTTTGACTCTCAATAAATTGTGTGCTTGGCAGCACCGAAACGTAAGGGGAAGTAGGGGAATGGGGAGGTGTTCCGTGGTAATGTGCGTATGTAATCAGCTTGAACACTGACAATTCAACGTGATCTGAACATAAATGGATCACTCCAAACATCCAAGTCTAGAGTTCAGCAAGGTATTATTTACACAGTGAAAGGTAACAAAGGTCAGGTAGGAACGATATGAAACTCCCAAATGTCACTGGAACAACGGGCAACACTAGTGATCAACTTCCAGGACAAATTCATGATTCATTTAACTGAACAACACCAGGTGTATAATGTACCGAAATGTGAATTCTCAATTTCAGTGCTCATAATGTGTGCGAACATGTAATAGGAGCAAAATGAACTCACCAAAAGTAGCACAAATCAAATCAGTCCAAACGTTCTCACTACCTCACCACAAAGATTAGAATCCATCACAGCTAAAGAATATCATAGCAGTATATCATCACATCGACATTGGAACGTTTTAACGGTTCAAAGACATTTCAGTATGCCGCAGATATACAGACATGCAAGACATTGGCTCTCACTTTGAAATCTTCAACAGTGTACATCGCAAAATATAAGCTGAACTTCTCTTGGCTGGTAACCCTCAATCTCTCAACGTCATGACGATACAAAACAATCTCTTACGTAATATTTCCGCTATTCAGTATTGATTTACATCAGTGCATGATTTGCACGCAATAATTGACTAATAAGCCTGAAATCGTGAAATACAGTCTTTTATACAGACAATGGAATGTGCTGTTGAGAATCATGCACAGTACCATATTTACAAGATTGAGTGAAACCCATAGCTGTTCTAGTCGGGAATAAATAATATATTTCAGCTATCCACAATCTGCGTGTTCGACCTCTAGGTCTGTAACCACTGTATCTGTATAACGTTGCTCTCTGTGGTGTCCTGTTTGCTGCCAATCTTGTTACATGGCTAAACTATTTGCTTGGTTGCTTACCTATACAGTTTAGTATTGGTTCTGTATTGGTTCTGTGTTACATCTAGCATAGTATGTAAACATTTCATTTGTGTCGTAACTATTTTATTTTCCTTGTCTTCCGAATACAGTGTCCACTATAACATTAATAGAATGGGTTTGGTAAACAATAGTGTGTTAAACAGTGTTCTTTTAGTATTTATATTCACATGCTTGCATTTTCAAAATTTCTGCCATTTGGCGTACAACTTCTGCGGCTTTGTTGTATTTTTTTTTTTTTTTTTTTTTTTTTTGAATTCCTAATTCCCAGATTTGTAAAATCTTTCGCCTGCTTTAATTGGTGTTTTGAAGTTAAAAATAAGGAATACATGGCCCCCTACAACATAGGAAAGGCCGTGGGACTGACATGAATGGAAGGGAAAGTAAATGGGGGCAAGTTTGTGATGAGTACCAGTACGACAGATTGTTTTGAAAAGCCACATTTCCAGATTCAATTCGATTTCTAGATGCTTATTTATTGTCCATGTTCTTACACCATAAAGAAAAGTTGTGTGTGCGAAACATTTAGTGATACTAAGTTTAACGTGTTGCAAATCATCTAGCTGAACAGGCAGACAGATTGGATGAATCTGCACCACTGGGTGGTGAACTGATTCATGACAAGGCAGATGTGGTCAAGGCCTTTTGAGAACAGGCAACGAAATCCGTAGAGAAAGAATATTATTATGTTTATTATGGCCTGGAGAGAAAAAGGTACCTGGGTGTAAACAGAGGGTCTAGCCGGTTGACTACACTTTGAGCAAAAACAAGACGGACATATAACCAGATTTTGACCGGTACCGTCAGTTTTGGAACTCTTCGCTGGCTGTTTACGATGAGGAAGGATCATACGTGGGAATGCCCCGAATGCTGTGATGTCAATTCTGGACTCAACCCAACTCTTATCATCCACCTGACAATACTTTTCGCCTCATACTAAAGATAGCAGCCACAACCCATTCACAGTATTTTTTTTCATAATTGTATTATACCTCTGATATAAAACTTCTTTGTTAAAATATTATATTCAGGGGGACCTGTGTGTGGTCGCACTCCAGCCATGTCTACATACGGTAGACGCGAAGTGAACGACAATGATGACCTAAATGACGACACTGGCGATGTAGCATATATGGACAAGATACTAGGTGGTCGCTACGCCACTTACGGGGAATTCCCCTGGATGGTTGCAATACTATATAATGACAAGCAAATGTGTGGAGGAGCTGTTATAGGTGAATTCTGGATTATCACCGCTGCTCATTGTTTGTTGTAAGTATAGAGGATGATTTTTTTTTTAAATTACCAGTTAAATCTATGCACAAACCTTTAATCTCAAACTAGTGGTTACAGAAAAAGATGACGATGTTTCGAGGGCTCGAATGCTACTTATCACACTTGTAGTGAACCATTTTCTCCCTGATAAATTATGTTACAACAGGAGTGACGTCAGCTAATGAATATAAATTAGATATCTGAATTTAACAAGAACGAACAGGATGCACGTGGAAAATGTTCACGAAGTAAAAAATGCAAAACTCATGCGAATTGGAAAACATGAGAATATCTAATATCTAATTCTCGTGTGGGTGACATAAGATTATTTATTTAATGCCCCAGAAAGACCGAGTGGGCAGTGTCGTCTGTTCGCGTGTGAAGTGGAGAAAATATTTGTATCAAATTATAAACGAAAGTATGTTTTTCATGTGTCTGTGAATTTCCAACGCCCAACCTGGCCATCAGCTAAGAACTGACACTGTCAGCGCTGAACATGTTTGAGTAATAATTTTGTGTGTCAAGGAGTGTTTCGCTGCCGTTGTGTAAATGGACATCTGTGTATCCGTCTAAAGGTAATATTGTTATCTAATGTATTATATACCTAGGCGGTTGATGCCTCACCATATACTGGCCACAGAATCAGCGAGTGAATGAACAATGAGGATTGACATCGCATCCTGTTGTTCAATGTCGTCTATCTGTTAAGTTTGACTGTCAGTGCACGAGTTAGAAGTCTGCCAGCGACTAGAGCCAAACTGAATGTAAGGAGCGTCATTGCAACACTCAACTCAAGAGACCATTATTGGTGGGCCATTTTATCAGAAGAAGGAAACTGGAACATGTTGCGAACACAGGACAGATTAATAGAAATAGAGTTATAGGAAGATGACGCTGGAAGATAATTGACAGTCTTTTGTACTAGCATAGAAATGTCTAAGAAATTGTGCTGATTAATTTAGTTGACAAGTGCGGATTGTGAAGAGGCGTATTCGCCTACACAAGTCCCTAAAGCATGTGATGATTATGATAATATTAATGATGATTATATTGATGATGATGATATTGATGATGATGATATTGATGATGATGATATTGGTGATGATGATGATGATAATGATGATAATAATGATGACAATGACAATGATGATGTCTTCAGCTATAAAACGACGTGCTGCAAAACGTTCGTCATAAAACACGTTATATCGTAGTTTTAGGCTGTTTACCGAAATGCTGTAGTTAGTACTCCTTTGATAAATTCTTTAGTCGAAATATTTAGTGTGAACGTCTTTTCTTTTCACTCCTTTGAGCTTTCTCATCACATTTTATGACGAATTTAGTACTTCTGTTATGAAGAACGGCGGACTGAACGGTTGGGAACTCTAAGCTCTCTTGCGTAATATCTGGGTTCGAATCCTTGGTGAGATTGGGATTGTGTTTCTGCCGGGGAGCAGAAATTTAATCCTAATATGATGATGTGCTTTGGGTGTTAGGTCATGCTCACAGCAAGTCGAGCAAGAGACGTGCAAGAGACGACGGCACGAGATATTCGGAGCTGACAGTACAAACTAGGCAGAGCCCAAGGTTGGCTCGTGGTAAGAAGGAGGAGGCTGCATGGTCTCGGAGCAAGGTGTCCCCCTCGAGTGCTAGAGGTTTCGTGTTCAATCCCCGTAAGGGCTGGGATTTTTTTAAAGTGGACTTGGACTTTAGTAATTCCTGCTGGTCTCTGGATGGTGATGTCAAACGCCTGTGTGCATTTTTGCTCACTCAAAAAATTCCTTGGCAGTTGGAAATATAAAAGAGTAGCCTAACTCCGCTGCCTGGGCACAATTTGGAGTTAAAAATCAACCCAAAGTATTTCAGGATCCTCGCTAGTGCTACAGAGCCTGTGCACTGTGCTGAGCTTTTTATAAATCAGACTTAAGTTAGAAGAACAGAGCACTTATGGATTACTACCCGTGTGTATGATGTTGAACCTAGCTCAAGGAGGACGGCTGTAATGCAGTTGGGAGGAAATGAATTAAACGTCGTGTGAATGATTATTATTGCAGAGATTGCGGAAGTGAGCAGCGATGTCGATAACTGAACAAACTGTGGCTGGGAAGTGTGAGGATCGGGAGAAATCAGCTGACAGAATGTGTATACGGAAACACAGTACTATTCTGTCTTATGTATGGTGGAAAGCTGTGTCTGTTCTCCTAGTGAACCAATATTGCTACAATTAAAAATACTACAGGTGTACACAAGCTATATTGCACCTAGCATGCCCAGTCCATGACCGGCTCTAGCTGACGGGCCGTGCTGCTGACGTCACCGTGTCGGGCTAACGCAGCGGTACTAAAACAAGGAATGAACTTTTTCGACAGTGGCGAGGGAAGACAACCTAAATTTTAACTATCAAGCATTTTTTTAAAATAATTTCTCAATTTTTAGCCGACGTTTCTTGATTATTGCCGCGGCAAACTGGCATACGCTTACGGCACCCCAGTGTGCCTCTTCACTCAATCTGAGAACAGCTCCTTTAAGGCATCGTTAGCCCGACCCGGTGACGTCAGCAGCGTGACCCATCAGCTGGAGCAGGTCGTGCCTAGTCCGTGGCGTCAAAGCACTAGCCATGATGCATTTAATTCTAGGCTCATACATTGTCTGTCTACATCGCACAAGTGCTAACTCTAGGCACTGATGGTGGGAGAAAAGCACAGTTTCTGTCTTACATCAGTAAGTAAAAGTCCCTTTTCCACGCCTCTGGGCGTATTGGGAATATATATACATATATATATATATATATATATATATATATATATATATATATATATATATATATATATATATATATATATATATATATATATATATAAATCAATGTTTGTGTGTTTGTTTGCCCCCTATAGACTCGGAAACTACTGAACCGATTTAGCTGAAATTTTCAGGATATGTTTGTTTTGATACCGGATTTTGAACCATCGTGGTTTGAAATTCAACCTGTCACTGTTAGAGATAGGTGACCACAATTTATGCCATAATATCCAAAACCAATATTTATACCTTCAGTGATTTCTAATTATAGCCACGTTAGTACCTGCGCATGCGCCGTAGTTACCAATTGCCAGCGAGTTACGTGCAGCCAACGCCTTCTCTAATACATAGAGTAGGTCGTGGTACAGCAAACAAGATAATCTCTATATTTGCCACAATAACCATATTAAACACGATTTCTATTTTCTGTTTTTTTTTCAAACAACCTTCGATTGGGGGGGGGGGGGGGGGAAGGGGGGGGGGGGCAATCAAGGACTATTTCGACGTCGGCGCAGACAGTAACTGCGACATTAACTTCATTAACCGTGTTAGACACGTGCGATTTCTATTGTTGTGCCGTTTCATTAATATATCTGGAGTATCTGTCTACGAGAAAACAATTGCCTGCAGTTTTGAATTGTGTTTTAATCGCGACACAGCAGTAGGGACACACATCTCTAATAGTTAAGTTCTCTTTTCGTTGATCCGATTAAGTGGCTGCTTGGTCAAATGGTTAAAACACTGGGTTCCTATGCGGGAGACCTGGGTTCGAATCCGCAGCAGTTAATTTTTTGTTTACCCCGGACTAAAATAATATCCTCATCTGCTCTGTCGTGGTGACAGCACTAGCCATGTTGCCTTAATATATAGAAAAAAAAAAAAGTAAATGGGTAAACCATTTGATAATTAAATTTGACTATTTGCATACTTATGATTGCATTTTTAAACTTTCCGATTGCATGGTTACGCTGAAATTTCATAGATTTTCATTTATTTTCATTTAGATTTAGTTATTTCATCTGCGTTGGAATTTTAAGCTGTGCTGTTTACCATGGCGTTCATTTCCTAATTATGGTGTTTTTCTCCTGTGTTCATTTGCTTTTCAAGTGATTTTTTTCCCTCCCAACTACTTCAATGAGGGAAAGAGTTGTCGGTGAATTTGGGGGGGGGGGGGAGGGGGCCAAACTATTAACTGAGAGAGCTTTAAGTCACAGTAACTGCTTTACCCACTTAAAGTAGCAGCAGCAGTAATAGTTGTGGTTGGGCTGTTACACCATAGTGCTCTCATGTGAAGACCGCCGGTAAGGTTATGGCGTTCTTCTGTCGGCAAGTGAAATTATACATCCTAACCTGACCAGTCTGTGGCGACAGCACTAGCCATGCGGAACCAAATCTTCTGGCTCACGATTCTCTGTCTACTCCGATGGTAACACAGATAGCAGTGACATTATTTTAGTAGTTGTACTGGTACTTGAAGGATGATGTGGTAAATATTACACTAGCTCCATTCACTACCTATTACAATTCCTGCTCCCTATTTTAGTCCAGATGGACAGGGATGTCAGTGTCAGTTAAAGCAACAAAAAATATCGCCAGGTAGTAATTTTCAAATCCTTTGAAGAGGGAGAGAGCAGTAGTCGGTGGAAGAGGGAAGGGGGTAATGACTTAAATTTAAGAGAACTTAAAGAGCTTTAAACGTGATTTATAAGTTCTCATTACCTTATTTGTTTATATTTTACTAACGCTACCTCCGCTTTTCTATTTTTTACGACTTACTTTGTTATTCACAAGTACAGTTGTAGCTTTACTTCCGTCCCCTATAAAAATACAAACAGCTTTTGCATGTGATAACCAAATAACAATTTTTGTTACTGTGCTAATAACACCATTTAAACGACCACTAATAAAAAGACACAATTATAAGGTGCATGTTTTAAAGTTGGAAAACCAGACCATCTCTATATCTGTGCAGAGAATGATTGCGACATTAACTATATTAGACACGTGCGATTTCCATTGTCTTTCTTTTCCAAAAACCTTTGATGAGGGAGAGAGTAGTAGGTGGATTTAGTTGTGGTGGTGGTGGGGGGGGGGGCGGATAAAAGATTATCTCTATATCTGAGCAGACAATGATTTTATTAGTTACGTAGAGCATACGAAGAAAACAACAGACTTAATAAGGAACTGCCAGCAACCAACAGAGTGATGGAAGAAAGAGAGAAAGCACGGAAAGAAGCAGCAAGAAGGCAGCAAATACAGGGAGCCGAGACCCAGAACAAGCCACATCAAACACCAGATAAGAAAACACCAACGCCGCTGATGAAACAGTTTCCGGTCGAAACTACTAATCAAATAAACCAACGCATCAGGGAGCTGGAGGACCCGAACTTCTTTAACTCAGAACTGCAAGATGATGATGTTCTATGGTCATCACCAGAGGAACCATATCGACAGCCAAAACCTGAAATCAAACGAGGTCGACACCGTTACCTCAAACACTAATACCAGATACGACACAACCAAGGCCAAAATTACCGAAACCCTATGTAGGAGAAGTAATTTACAACAAGGATACGAGAAAATCACCAAATAATACCAGACCTCACCAGTATTGCCATCAGTACCTGCCCAAGTCAATCAACCATCGGTCCTTCTTAGGATAGGCAATTTACTTTCCCCGGAAACAACAAACAGCCAAGGAATACCACAATAAATCGATTCAACAGACAATCATCTGGAGCGTAGCACAGGGCCAGCCAAATTACAAAAGCAACAGCAAGAGCGGAAACCACAACAAATAGAAAGCGACAAATATTGAACACAATCCAAAACCAAATGAGATCGAGACCAGAAAACGTCACCACAAATATAGCTGAAAGGAAAGTGAGCAGAAATGTGAGCGGACCTAGCTGAAAGTGGTCAACGAAAGAGAATTTGAATTTGAAATTTTATTAGACACGTGCGATTTCTATTTTCTTTCATTTCCATTTAGCCAAACTATGCCACAGCAACGCGTGGCCGGGTACAGCTAGTATATATATATATATATATATATATATATATATATATATATATATATATATATATATATATATATATATAAGACTAATTGAAGGGTGATGTGATCAGCATCACGCCAACCGCCTTTACCTCCCTGACTGCATCTGGTACCCACTTAAGGCTATGTCGACCTTGCAGTATAGGTCATTAAAAAAATTCGGCTGTGTCAGGACGCGAACCAACGACCTTCCGATCCTCAAGCGGGCGTCCTGCCGCCAACGCCACTGCGACTCCCTATCTTACATAAACAACCCTGTCCCCCCCCCCCCCCACACCCTCCCCCAAATAATAATAATAATAAGACTGTTTTTGATAATCAGAGGGTATGTCTAAATTTCAGTGACGGTTCTCAGCGATACTACAAAATTGCAGTTGGTGACCACAGTATGACGTATAAGGACACGAATGAAGAAACCTTTGAGTTACAAACGGTTATCATCAATGAGCGGTATCGCGGTAAGTTCCGTATCTCACTCATGAATATCAATCAGTAGATAGATCCAGTGGCGTCACCACAATGAAGGTTGGCTGCAATGGATTACCCACACACTTCGTCTGTTGTCTAAATAGTGAACCCTCACAGAGTTCTGTTTGTCAATCCTTTGATGATGATACGTTCCAGAAATAAATAGAAAAAGCATGTCTACTATTAAATACAGATTCGTCCACAATGTCTTTGGATGACGAATGGGTTAAGCAGATCGATAGTTAGAATTAACAAGGTAATTGGTTGTAGGCTAGGCTATATAAAAATGATTTAAACGTTGTGTTTGTGATTATTGCAGAGATTGTCGAAGTAAGCAGTGATATCGATTTTTTTTTATATCTAGAAGCCTTGAGTTGTTAACCCTTTGGCTCGGTACTATGGATATCGCAACCCTTCGGCCTTGATTCCATGATAGGTAATGAGATAGAAAATGTGGCTTTACTGCCTACCCCTTTGAGTTAAACCGGACCACAAGGAGTTCGTCACCCGGTCACCGCGCAGTCCGGTTTAGCCAACTACGCTAGAGAGCCGCTCCAGTGTTGTTAACTGAATAAAATGTGACTGAAAAATATATATACGGTGTGACCAACAGCAATATATCTTGTCTGTTATAACTATTGTTCTGTTAAAACACATTGATCAATTAAAGACAATAGCCTTTGTCTAAAAAGACTGCAAGGCAGCGGGGGGAGGGAGGTAGGTATAGGGCATGGCGACTCTTACTCGCGTATGGCCAGGTCGATGAGTTTTGGGGTATTCTATAGAGAGCTTTCGCCAGAACGACGATAGTTTGGTCATAGACTTTTGGCTTCGCTAAGCTTTAAAATCACTTACCTATGAGTAAATTCATAATATAATTCACTCCTAATGTAATTAGGAAAGAACATTTTACGACATCTTGACCCATACTTACTAAAGAAAGACTATTTACACATGGAAAACGAGTCCATATTTGAAACAGGTTATTTGCATTTGGGTGTACATAATGTGGGCAAGTCAACTAGCATAGGGGACTTCCGCTTGTTATGTAACAATATGTCATATGTAAAAATATGTGTGTGTGCGTGTTCAAAGTCGAATTGTCAGAAACATGATAAAGAAGCAGTCGTCGTTTTTTTTTTTTTTTCGGTCATGTCATGATAACAAGGATATAAAGGAAAAAAGATCATGTTTTGACCACAAGGAAGACAAAAAAGTATAGCTGATTTTGGCAGGCTTTTGTCTGGCCATGGAGGTGTGTCAGCCATAAACTGTTACATACTGTTAAAGATCGCAGGTTTTGGAGAGGTAGGATAACCCACACCATTTGGGAAGCACATAATGATGGTGATGATATATATATATATATATATATATATATATATATATATATATATATATATATATGTGTGTGTGTGTGTGTGTGTGTGTGTGTTTACCATAACAAATTATTTTATCTTGAAACATGCAGTGATCTCTGGACACCAGTGGGAAAGTAAAAAAGGGGCGCCCAACAAAAAAACATGCAGACGAACGACGAAGAGTGACCTGAGTGAGGCATCTTTGACATGGTAAAATGCACGGAATATTGCACAGGACAGGAGAGCATGGAAAGTCCTTTCTGAAGCCTCTAGCGGCCACTAAGCATAAATAGAATTAACGATGATGATGATTAATTAGCTAACACAACTACAAACTACTCGCAAGCAAACTAAAATATTTGAGAAATCCAACCCACAATGAAAACCATAAGAGAGCGTGTGAGCAATAATAAGAACTATTGGAACAATAATCAAAGTTGAATTCACAGACAAATACCGATTACAATGATTGGTTGACCTTGTCGGAATGAAGTTAACAATGCTGGCAGCTAGATCCTGCATCATGAAACGGAAACACTAAAAGGAAATGGGAGACCAAGAAGAAGTTGGATGAAAGAAGTCCTAGAAAAGCCTACACTTCACATCTCAGTAACGGAACCTTGCTCCAAAAGCGATCTTCTGCTAAAGCGAAGACGCCTTTTTAAATTTGTGTCGGCGTTTAACACTTAAATTCGTTTAACGTATTGATTTAACTATGTTATTGCTAATTACGAGCTAATTTTATTAGTATTGACTCCACAAACTACACAAAAAACAACTACACAACACTACTAAGAGTGGGTTGACATACTGTAGGCGTTATGACAATATTTTAGACAAAATTAATTGGTAGACAAAATTCCTAAATCCTAAAAAAAAGAAATAGCCTATATTGAAGGGGAAATAACATAAAAAACATAACATATCCCTTTACCCGATAGGGTCGTGAAAGTATGTTGAAAAAAGCACTAGCACATAAAACCCGCTATCTTTCTCTGTCTTCCGCTTAATAATTAAGTGTATGATAGCTGAGTCCATTCCACTTCTTGATGTTGTCACTCCAGGTTCTTCTTTGCCCTCCTCTTCCTCGACTACCCCTTCCTACCCCCCCCCCCCCCCTCCTCTCCCCGCCAGTGTTCCTTGAAGTACAGTTGTTGCAATCGAATCATGTCTCACCACGTGCCCAAACCAAGCTAGCTTGTAACGTTTCACCACTGCCAAGAAAGGCTCCTGAAGTTTATGCATATTTTGTCTTTGACATATTTATTAGTTTTGTGTTCTAAAAAACTCTATGAAGTACGTGGTGCAACGTCTGTCTTCCGGTGATCCATACCACTAAGTTTAAATACAGTGTTTATATTTGTCGCATTTTGTCTTTGCTTTTCTTATTTGATCACCGAATTTTAAGAAGAAATAAATTATGTGATACACTTTATGATTGACAGCAAGGCAGTACGATTTTGACATTGCGTTGGCCAAGATAAAACCTAAAAGTAATGGTCGTGGAATTCAGTTCAACAATTACGTTCAGCCCATTTGTCTAGCCGAGTCTACAGACGACGCTAGAGTTGGAACCAAATTTGTATTTTCAGGATGGGGATGGACTTCTGGCAGTAAGAATTCTTTGTTGTTCTACTCACTAGTCATCTCCCAGTGGGATGCAATTGTTTGTTATTTTGAAGCTCCACCCTGGCTCTTGCCAGCGGCTGCAATATAGCTCTGTCATAAATATGGTCTAGTGGCTGAACGCAGTTAGCGGGACCTCTCCACGGGTGTTCTTCATCCACATGGTGGCACTTTGTGTCATCGGGTGTTTATCGCCTGCGTGATGTCCTAATGGGGTAAATGTACTACTAGTACTACTTTGTTGTTCAGTTGCAGTGGTTTTAGACGTACAATATGTCTTATCATATTATTATTATAGTGATGCTGTTTCTATGTCTTATATTTTTTAAATAAGCACGAGCAGTCAGATGGTATCTTATTGTAAACAGATTTGCTACAAACGTTACAAAAATATCTTGACACATACACACACACACACACACACACACACACACACACACAATCATAAAGATAACTTTCCCCTTCTTTGAGTTTATAGCCTGTAACCCCGAGCGGAACGTTCTAGCTGTTTGTCTACAAATGATTCAGAGTTTGTTTCTCATGCACCTCCTCATTTTAGATATAGTTTAATTTTACTCTTGGTTCTCTTCATCTGAGACAGATGCACTTCAACTTCCCAGGAAACATCCCGAATTACTCGCCTCTTTATATCTATTCTTTGTTTTTAAATGGTGCACCGAAACCCACACTTCTTTAGGTCCTTTTTTACCGCTTCGGGTGTCGAGGGAGATATAAGGTCCTGGTATGTGCTCTTCTGGCTGCTTCGACTATCGACATATCGTAGTGCTGTAGAGCTTCTCGGATGTTATCTTCCCCATTTGTTCTTGTCTACCTCTTGCTCTACTTCCCTCTCCTCTTTTGTTATGTGCGCTGTTTAATATAGCTTCAGAAGGCATTCTCTCCAAGAGGGCAAACAATTTGATTTTCTGCCTCTGTATGGAATTTAGAACTGGTTCTTTGCCAACGTTATCTCGTTATGACCTAATTCCTGAACCCACATTATTGGCACTAAAGATAACTGAATACCAGCATTCCACTGAGGGAATTTATATTTTCCGTTTTCGAATATTGGAATGCATCATGAAATAATTCATTAGTTGACAAAGACACACTGTGTAGGATAATGTCATCTATTCTACATCATCTATTCTACATTTTACTTTACTAATACAAATCCCATCTACTCTTATAGAATAGAAATGGTTGAAGTAAGTAAAAGGTAAAGGACCCTTTCCCACGCCTTTCAGACGTATTGGATATATAGGGCTAGACCTATTTTTTGTAGACTAGCGGCACAATATAGGAGATGTGGTCACCATCACGTCGGGATGGTTGAAGAAACAACTACAATTGGTAGTTTCATGCAGTAACTAGACACAGAACAGGGAGTTGAAAAACCACGCCGTGCAAGTAGCAATCATTTGGCACATTGTCTTCATCTGTACCAAATGACCTTACTTACAGTCTCAGATATGTGCTTACAAATGTGCATGTGAAAGCGTGCCTATGTGTGTGATGTATATGCGTGTTTGCGTGTGTGTGTAATGGCTATGGCCAAGGTGAAATAGCTAGTTTTAGGCAGATTTCCATGATACGATAATAGGTAACACTCATTGTAAAAAATACTAAAAAATCCTCCATGCGTCGTACTTGGTAATAATCTGGATATAATGTCGACAACAGAAATGACTTTACGGTTTATTTTAAAACTCAAACTGGATGCCAGGAAATGTCATAGGAAGTAAAGGAGGTTCAATAAATTACATTACCTCCCCCCGCCCCTCCCATACCCCCAGTACTGGTTCTTCTTCTTCTTCTTCTTCTTCTTCTTCTTCTTCTTCTTCTTCTTCTTCTTCTTCTTCTTCTTCTTCTTCTTCTTCTTCTTCTTCTTCTTCTTCTTCTTCTTCTTTTTCTTCTTCTTCTTCTTCTTCTTCTTCTTTCTTCTTATTTCTTCTCTTTTTCTTCTCTTCTTCTTCTTCTTCTTCTTCTTTTTCTTCTTCTTCTTCTTCTTCTTCTTCTTCTTCTTCTTCTTCTTCTTCTTCTTCTTCTTCTTCTTCTTCTTTCTTCTTCTTCTTCTTCTTCTTCTTCTTCTTCTTCTTTCTTCTTCTTCTTCTTCTCTTCTTCTTCTTTCTTCTTCTTCTTTCTTCTTCTTCTTCTTCTTCTTCTTCTTCTTCTTCTTTTCTTCTTCTCTTTTTCTTCTTCTTTTCTTCTTCTTTTCTTCTTTTTCTTCTTCTTCTTCTTCTTCTTCTTCTTCTTCTTCTTCTTCTTCTTCTTCTTCTTCTTCTTCTTTCTTCTTCTTCTTCTTCTTCTTCTTCTTCTTCTTTTTCTTCTTCTTCTTCTTCTTCTTCTTCTTCTTCTTCTTCTTCTTCTTCTTCTTCTTCTTCTTCTCTACCCCTGGAATACTTCACAGCGTCAGAACATGAAGAGATCTTTGGAATGGGCTCTTCTGTTCGCTTTGTATAAAGTTACCGTTGTGTGTGTGTTTAACATTGCTCTGTGTGATGCCCTGTCTTATGCCAGTCTTGTGCCAGGCCAAACAATTTTTGTTGGCGACCTATAACGCTCAGATTTGGTTCTGTGCGTACTCTCCTCCTGATATAATCGTTTCTAAGTCAGACATACTACATAAACATGTTATTTCTGCCGTGAATATTTTCCTTCGGTCTTATTAGGACACTGTTCTTACTGCCATTACTCCATATTTTTCCGAATTCTTCCACTCGTTCTATACCCGCTGTGACGTTATAGTGTGGCTCGCTGTGGCAGATAGTACAAGGGCATTCTTGTTAGGTGTCCAAACCACTTCATTTGTTGTTCTTTGATTACTTGAAAGACTGGCTTTTTTCCTAGCATTGGTCTGATTTCGTATTCTGTGTTTCCTTGAAACTCCTGCAGCTCTTCTAAGGCATTTCATCGCTGTTGTCACAATTTTACTTTCATTGGAGGATGTAAGTTTCCACGTTTGGCACTGATAGCACAGTGTTGGCCAAAAAATAGTTCTGATAAGATTCACTTTAGTACTCTGGGGTATCTGCTTGTGTATTTTGTCTAATTGTCTAAGTGTGAATATTGCCCCAGTACAACTTTCGCTCTTCCGAAATAACATTTGTCCATCACTAAGATGTGGTTCGGTGATAGGGCGCGGCATTTATGTTTTGCCAACCATTTTACCCGTGTTGCTCAATAACGAATCATCTGTATACTTCTCACAGTCTTTCTTGCTGCCTTTCTTTCTCCATCTGGGTACTATTACTGCCTTTCTCTAGTCCTCCGATGTCTCTTGTGGTGTCCCGACAAGATTGAACAGTCTTTGCATCCATATTCCACTCAACACTTCTGATTAGTCTATACAAATTAGAGCATAGCCACACATGTCTGCTGATTCATAGGCTTTTAAAAAATTCTTTACCTTACTTCGGCCAGATGTTTCAAACACTATCTAGAGATACGTTTCTTTTCCGCTGTCAAGCTCTGCCAAGTAAACTCTCTTGGTTCTTAACTATTTAAATGTTACCTTCATTCGTTAGTTCGCTTATCCTCAAACTAAGATGGTCCCTTGCTACTTTACAAAGAAAATGACCTCGTCGTTAACGACAGTGTTGTTTGCGACACATGATGCTTGACACACGGTTTTACCAATCAGAACTCGGTGACTGCCGTCGCTAACATTAAGAAGGTCGCCTTTACTTTTCAGAAACTTGCCTGATTACCAGGTATGGCTGGGTCGACCTGGGGCATAAACGCCAATGAGGTGTAACAGTTATGTGTGTGTATCTGACAATAATGCCTACATTTTATGTGTTGAGTAAGAACTAATTAGCAAGAACTGATATCACATCACTAACTCACACAAAGGATTTGTCCACATTTTCAGCTACGAGCAAGGAGATCCAGTTCAGAGGGTCCCGGTAGTAATTTGATCATATGTCCGCATTGCCACTCCTCTGAGTGTACAGTGTCTACCTGATCATATTGGTCATTCCTGACTGCCCTATTCTCTGCATTACGAGAACGACTTATTCGTGCTTCAACACTATTTATTGATCACGTCCAGCTTGTCACGCATAAATTCATCACCTATTGGTATAGAAACAGCCAATCTGTCTACATGTTGACTTCCTAATACTCCCGCATCTTCCAGAGGGAAAACCCAAAGATCACTAACTACCACGGATCACTGAAGCGATGCCTGCAACTCTTCCCCTTTCAGCCCTTTGTAAACACACTTTGTGAGTTTATTTTTCTTCTACATCTTCAGCATTTAAAGCCCTTTAGGTTCTTTGCTGCAGATATAACCCACCTCGTTTAGTTTCTATGGTTCACCTTGTCTGTCCAGTTGGTGATAGCAAGTTTTTGCTGGTTGGCCTGGCTATTATCTCTCCATCGTCTTCTTGGTCGGCCTCGTGGTCTACGATCATTCAACGCCTTTGTGTACACAGTGTTCACCTCTCTGTCATCTAACATTCTCTCGATATGCTCCAGCCATTTCAGTCTATCAGCCCGCATAGTTCCAGTGATCACTAGTGATTTCAATGAATTGGTAATTTCGTTGTTGCTTCTCATTCTCTATTCCCGCTCTTTGTAAGTTAAATGGGTCCAACAATCGTCGAAGGACTCAACAAAGATTCATCCCTTTTAATTGTGCTCTAAGTTTCAGAGCCACATAAAAGAATTATTCTTATCTGTCAAGAACCTACATGTCTAGAGTTCGATTCCATATGGCTGCGCTGCAGGCAAAGGACAGATAAACAATGCTAAAGGACACACCCAAGCAAAACCCAGGTTGAACACACACACACAATCTTTATCATCTAAGGCTACAAACTCATAAAGACATGTGCTTCAGGAGCGGTAGTGCTCCTTTTTCTGAAACCAGGTGCTTCTAACTTTAAAATCGTTAGACGAGCCTTCTCACATTCATAAAATGAGCTCTGAGCTCCTACCCCACTCCCGTACAGCGATAACTCCATTCGATGTCTCCCGATGCCAAAGACGCTATGGCACACGCCGAGTGCGTGCTAGAGTGGCGTCGGCAGATGCAAACGCCATAAACAATGCATGGTCTTGTTTTCCATAACTAGGTATCACTGATGACAAAGTCTAACTGCTATCCTAAACCTATCTACTAAATGAGATTTAAAAGAATCAATTATTACTTACACCGTAAAGTCCTAAACCCATTTAGTCAAACACCAGACGGTACACATTACAGAAAACATCTAAAACACCAAATTTGTAAAGGTCATTACAACTTGTCATTGAACTAGTACAATCTAACGGTCTGGTCAAAACACGTCTACGTCTTCTGCCAAGAGATTCCCGATCTGTGCTTTGCACAGACGTTTTGTTGAAATCCCAAAGGTCACTGCTCAGTGGACATTCAGGGAAATCCGTCGACATTCAGCGAAATCCGTGGACATTCAGCGAAATCCGTGGACATTCAGCGAAATCCGTGGACATTCAGCGAAATCCGCTGACGTTCAGCGAAATCCGTGGACATTCAGCGAAATCCGTGGACATTCAGCGAAATCCGTGGACATTCAGCGAAATCCGTGGACATTTAGCGAAATTCGTGGACATTCAGCGAAATCCGTGGACATTCAGCGAAATCCGTGGACATTCAGCGAAATCCGCTGACGTTCAGCAAGCCTCGTTGAGCTAACACAGATCTATCCCTGTATCCGCCTATTTGAAACATGCCCCTAGCTTAGTTATGGGTCACAAGCTACATCCTCTATTTTATCATCATCACACTGAACTGTCCCATAACCGGGACGACCCCAGACATTATCACTGTTTTATAATATTGATATGTGGCGCAACAACACTAAATTTTACTATGGTCGGGGTGTCGACATTACTCTTCATCCCCCAAGCTTGGAGTACCAGTGTCTCTCTTTGCCTTTTCTCTATTCTTTGTCCTGTCAGGCTTGGGAGGCCATTTGTAGGTCGGTTACAATTACAAAATGTTTATACAGCTGGTTTTCAGGCCAGATGCAAGAAGTTGTCATCTCCCCACCGTCATTCTCAAACTAGAAATGTTAGTACCATACACTAGAAATAGTTAAATATGAACATACAGTAAGTAACCTTGCAATCTGATTTATGCATTTCAGTATAATTGATTCACCTGCATGCTTCATTGTGTTTGTAGTAACTCTATGGTAATGCAACGGATGAGACGCAATGAAATATGCCAGACAATAAATTGTGCAATGTCTTGTTTGTGTCCATTTGTGAAATTTACGTACAAATAACAGGCAGCGGAAGATCGCCAACACTGAAGAAAGCCAACCTCCCGTTCCTCGCCTACGACAAATGCAAGAGAATATACCCCAGAGCGATCTCACCCAATGTCTTGTGTGCCGGCAATATCAACGGAGCTGAGGATTTGTGTAGCGGCGACAGTGGAGGACCCCTTGCCCTTAAAGTTGAAAGTAAGATGTCTATTACGTTTTCTCACATGTGTTGGGATTACATCTGTTGCTAATGAAATAGCAGGAATCAATATAGCTCAAGAAAGGAGGGATGGGAGGTCTTTCCGTGGAGCTACGTTATGTTTCTGTGACATGTTCATTACAAACTGCAGTATGTTCGCATGTTTTTGGGCATGCATACATGTTATTGTATGCCTACTAACATTTGACTGTAAGTAAAATTTTAGGGAGGTGTCTGGCTGTTCTACAATTTGAAAATGTAAAACAAAAGTCCTAATTTTAGAGAGGGGAAAAAAACGATATTTATGAGCCTTACATCAATGTAACTTTACAACTGATTTATTTTTTTTTCCACGAGTTTTGATAATTGTGATGTTAATGTATGGTACACATTTACTGTATAATTTGTTTTTAACCAGTAAAGACAGACGATGTTTCTTCTTTTATGCTGTTTAAAAAAAAAAAATTTTTTTTTTTAATTTTCAAATTTTTTGAAACAAAATTTTCATATGTTAAAACAATTATTTAAAAAAAAAAAAGTACATGCCCCAGATACTCAGTTTAAGTACACACAGTTTCAGTCTTTAATGGATTTGCTGTTATTAACTTTGCATCTCTAATTCTTGTAAAAGCTTTATTAATAACAATATCATGATCGTGAAATGTTTTGGTATGGATACATATGTCATGCATGTATGCAGTAACTTTTTGAAATAAACATAACAATTGTCAGACCATTTTTGTGAATGCTTTCGGTGCATTTATTACCCAAAATAGTAATCGAAGCCACCGCTCACGACCAACTGTAGTCTGAGAACTGGTGTATTTTACAGCATATCTAGATACATGAATTGCCAGTTACTTTTGAAAATCATTTTTCGAAAACATGTTTGGAGTTATACAGCTTGTTTAAGATTTTGCTATATGCAGTTAGTGTTTAAATTGCAGGGCAATCTGATTCAATATTCTGTTTTCGGCACATACTGGTACTGAACCAGCGTTTTCTGTTTCACCGCTACTAATTGAGAACTAATTAGAGGTGGCATTCTCTATCATTCCTTCTTTCTGCAATTGTTTAAGTTCTGTAGCAGCTCCCCCCTCCCCTCTTTATTAGTATATGGGAATTGAGTATGCCTTGTTTTAAAAGAATTGACGATTTCAGCTGGACACCGTCTTGCTTTAGGTCTCTTTTTCCATGTTTATTAGTCAAAATTTAACTGCAGCCTAAAACTCTATCGCATATTTTTGACTGTCTATTGGTAAATACGTTTGGCTTTACTTTAACTGATTTACAGTTGACTTCTCTCTGTATTGAATGTGTTGCAATTTCTTCCTCAATACCATCAACTAACTCTTCGTTAATAGCATTGCACAAGTTTATATCTGCTACTAATTCATTAGAAGTCAACAAAGAACATCTAAAATATGGTTTGATCATGTTAACATGGAACATTGTTTGAGTTGTCATTCATTTTGATTTGATAATCAACATCATAAATGTTTTTATCACGATAAATTGACCATGATGGATAGAATTTGAGGTAAATGTAACAAACATTTTACTGCAGTGATCTACTTGGTTCTATATGATGCAGCTTCCTTTGAAATGTTAACAAATGCTTCAAGAATGCTTTAAGACATCATGATTGAAATATGAACCCATGTTGATAAACGCCTCATATATATATATATATATATATATATATATATATATATATATATATATATATATATATATATATATATATATACATATAAACACACACACATAAATATTCATACATGTATATGAATGGGAAGCTATGAGTCCCAGAATAATAAGAGCATCATTTAGAACAGCGAAGCGGAAGGTGAACATGTCGGTAATACAGTGTTACGCATCAACAAATGATAAAGATGCATCTGTTAAGAAAGAATATTACATGCAGCTTCAAAATATTATAAATAATGAAAGAAAGTGCAATTAAAAAATGTTGATGGGTGACCTGAATGCTAATATAGGATCAGATAACACTGGTTATGAAGAAATTATGGGAAGACATTGTCTAGGAATAATAAATGAAAATGGAGAATTGTTCACACATTTGTGTGCAGGAAATAGGTATGTTATTGGTATAAGTATTTTGTCCCATAAAAGAATAAACAAGGCAACATGGGAATCACCAGACCATAAGACAACTAATCAAATTGACCACCTATGTATTAACACAAAGTTTAGATCATCCCTTTACGATGTTAGGGCTTTCAGAGGTGCCGATGTATTTACTGACCATTTCCTGGTGGTAGATAAAATCAAGTTGAAACTTAAAATATATATAACATCTCATAATCATAGAAACCATATAACGTAGGTTCTCTCAGGGATAGAGAAGTCAAGGAACAGTTTTCAGTTACAGTCTCTAATAAGTACCTGTTGTTGCAGCAGTTATCTAAAGATGCCAGCACAGAAGTCTCCTGGGATCAGATCAAAGGAATCTGGAATGAATCTTGTGTAGAAGTTCTTGTCAAGAGTGAACGGAAACACACAGCGTGGATAACACCTGAAATCAGTAAATTGATTGAAAAAAGGAAAAGAAAAATTGCGGACTTAAACAATAGCAAAACTAGAGCTGCTAAAGCTAGAGCTTAGGATAATTATACAGAAGGCAATAAGGAGAATAGGAGGCGCATAAGGGCAGATAAAGTGAAATATCTAAATAATATAGCACAAGAAGAGAGACAGCAGCAGCAAAAGGAAACATCAGAGAACATTACAGTAACACAAGAAAAATAGTAGGTAAATATAGTCAGCAAACTGGATCAATAAAAAAATAGTCAAGGAAAGGTACATACTAACACTAAAGATCAAATGGACATATGGGTTGAATATTTTGAAATGCTTTCATTTCTAAATATCCAGCCTTTAGAAATAGAACTACATATCGACTATGAGATACTATCTAAATAGGAAATTAGAAAAGCTATTAATCTTCTCAAGAAAGGAAAGGCGACAGGCCCAGTTAGTATCCCAACTGAAGCCATTAGGGCTAACATAAACACATCAACAGAATTGCTACATAGATTATTCAGTAAAGTCTGGGAGACCGAAGAAATACCAGCAGACTGGAGAGAAAGATATCCTGTGAAACTGCCCAAAAAGGTAATCAACAGGAGTGTGAAATTATGTTGCTGTCAGTTCCTGGAAAATATTAAGTAGATTTATTTTGGAAAGATTAAAAGATGCTATTGATAAAAAGTTAAGAGATGAACAGGCAGTTTTTCGGTCAAACAGATCCTGTTCTGACCAGATATCCACATTACGTATTATAATAGATCAAAGCATATAACTGAACTCACCACTTTACATTGGATTTATAGACTATGAAAAATAATTTGAAAGCATTGATAAGGAATCTCTCTAGAGATTGATGGGGCACTAGTGAATCCCACATAAAATTATTAACTTACTAAAGGCAACATATAAAGACATGAAATGTCGAGTTCTTCACGAGGGAAAGCTAACATACATTTTAAAAAAAAAACAAATGTGCAACAGGGATGTCTTTTGTCGCCTTTATTTTTTTTTTTTTTCAAACTGGCTATAGAATGAATTATAAAAAAAATAACTACTAATACCAAGAATAGAATTCAGTGGACCCCTTCAAAACAGCTTGATGATCTGGACTTCGCTGGTGATATTTATCTTCTGTCCCATTCACGGAAAGAGATGCAAGATAAATTAAATATACTAGATGCGAGATCACAGCAGCTTGGTCAGAAAATCCATAAAGGAAAGACAAAGATAATGAGATTAAATCAGGCAAATAGTAATGTGGTTTCTCCTAATGGCACCCCACTTCAAGACATGGAGTCGTACACCTATTTGGACAGTAATGTAGGTAAAGATGGAGGATCTGATAGAGATATTAAAATAAAAATACAAAAGGCAATAAGAGCTTTCATAGCACTAGGGAATTTGTTGAGATAAAAAAAAAATTAAATAGAAAAACTAAACTAAAAATGTTTAATTCTGATGTCAAATCAGTACTATTGTATGGGGCGGAAACATGGAGAACAACTAAGGCAATTACTAAAAAATTACAGACATTCATTAACTGGTGCCTGCGCAGAATAGAGGGAATTAAATGGTGTGATATAATAATTAATGTAAAGCTTTGGGAGAAAAATATACAGGCTCCAGTGGACCAAGAGGTGAGGAGAAGACGCTGGCGTTGGATAGGACACAAACTGAGAAAACAGGAGAACAGCATAACTAGAATGATCTTTTGGAGAAGAGAGCTGGAGAACGAAGTTAGAAAGATGGGGAGGACATAAATATATAAGTGTGTGTGTGTACACACATGTATATATATATATATATATATATATATATATATATATATATATATATATATATATATATATGTATATATATATATATATATATATATATATATATATATATATATATATATATATATATATATATATTCTGTATTCATACATTGCAGGTAGTTTTGTCTTATATGGCATCGCTGCCTTTTCGTCTGGCTGTCAAAGACCTAACTACCCAACGGCATTTTCAAGTATTGCCAAATATCGAGGCTGGATCGATTCTACAATCAGACGTAACAGTCGAGGCTCTGAGGGTACAATGCCTGTACGTAATGTGTATTTTTGAAATATCTCTTCCATTTAACTTTTTATATGCATACAGTATTTTTTTTTTAAATCACAAAATGCAGTTTACTTTGTTCTGAACGTCATATTTAAATGTGCAGTAAATACTCCTATTGTTTATCTTCTCTCTCTCTCTCTTTCTCTGTGTGTGTGTGTGTGTGTTTGTGCGCGCGCGCTTTAGTGTGGACGCAGGCTAGTGTGTGTAGGCTAATGCACAGGGTTCTTGAACGACCGTATGTGTTTAGGAGATATTATACAGCCGGATAAGCTATTTTATGCACCTCTTTCAGCAAAGGAAAACAAACATTTAATGTTTTTTCTACTGACGTTTCCTATCAAACAGAGGTTTAACGCACTAGCATATTATACCTTCTGGAACATCGTAGAGGTTACTTGTCAGCCTATTACTAGTACTATTGGAATCAGAACTCTGCTCTGGCTGCTGAAGATCGAACGACAGCGCATATTATATCTCGAGTGATAGAATATGTGTTCCTAACTTATCTTAACATATAAATTTTATTAAATCAGCCATAGAGCATTGCTTCTAACAGATAAAGATGAGCAAAAATCAAAATATTGTAATGTCTTTCCAATAACCCCCTCAAGACACCAACAAAAGAAAGCTTGCATCAGAAACACTAGGACTATAATTGAACGCATACAAATTTTTGGGAGAGATGTGCCAAAGGTAAGATTGAGAGATTTGTGGTCAAAACGAGAGATAATTCTACTGTGGGAACATTGATAATAATAATGATAGGCCTAATAGCACTTACTGGAAGCGGTTATTGAGTAGAACAAAGAAGAATCTTAAGGAGCTTTCAGTTGTTGAGATGCCAGCTCACCACTGGAAGAAGATATTAGTAGCATGGACACTAACGTGTTAGAAAGAACCTTCAGAACGAGATGCACACTCTCGATAATTATGGATGAGCAGCCCAGTTACATGAAACATGACCTTCACCAGTATAGGCCGTGGGGAAATTTTGGTCACGTCACTTTCTTAGTCTGACGCAAAATGGCTCTCACATGTGTTTCATCTATGTAAGGTTTTTTTTATAATAATAATTATTATTATCGTCTTTGTGTAACATTAAGAAGAGATTTTACATTCACTTTTGACTCATTTATAAGTGATGTTTTCTTGGAATATATTTAATAGTTCTTTATGTGATTCTATTTGGGCTTATTTTCAACATGTGTTTTCGCGGAGCACCACTTCAAAGGTACGAAGGAAAAACAATATTACACTGTATGTCCAACGATCTCTTTGTTTAATAGTATAGTACAACTTATAATACATCTGATATTCACATTTCATAAATTACTCAAAATTACAGATTCGAAATAGGCACCTATTAGCAAAATATTGCGATTATACTGAGTGGACAGAAAGAATATTGAGAACATCCTGTATGGTAAAGAAAAATATGGCGAATATACTGGTTGCAAAAAAGAATACTGCGAATATCCTGAGTGGATAATAACAATTGTGCGAAAATACTGGGTTGAAAACAAGTGTACTTCGAATATCCTTGTCGACAGGAAAGATATTGAGAATATACTTGTTGGACAAGAGGAATCACTCGAATGTGCTGCGTGTGGAGGCAGAATTCTGTGAATATCCGGGGTGGACAAGAAGAATCATGTAAATATCCTGGGTTGGCAAAAAGAATCATGTGTACAAAAAGAAAATTGCCAATATATTGGGTGGAACAAGAGAGATTATTCATCCAAGAAAAGAAGGTTGGCTGTTCACTCGCTAATTTTCAGTCGATTGTATGGATACATTTTCATTTTTAGTGTGCTGTATAACTCTCTACCTGTCAATAATTATTTTTTTTAGCTTTATAAGAACACCTTTAAACAAGTAAAGCATATGTTTAGAAAAATGGCTGCACCGGCACGTTAAGAAAATACGCACACTCATACACATGGACTGAACGACCAACCGTTACAATTATGACGTGCACTAGAGACAAACAATGGCTTTTAGAGGTTGAATGCTGATGGCCGACAGGCAGGTCTTTCATTATTGCCAACGACTGAAGCGGCTTATTGTGCCGAGTATTATATTTGTCTGTCAAAAGTTAGACACTTGTAATTCTAAATGTTTCAGAGGCAAAGTTAAATCAGTCAGAATGTCTGCCTAAATCGCTGATGCACGTAATATACTGTATATATTGTGCATTATTCCATATTATGATGTAGACTGTCATTGGTATAACATAAGATTTCATCACACGAGTCTCTCAACTGGAAATCATTTTGATCACAACATAATTGCTCACATTGTATGCCTGCATGGGATCTTATGTTAACTAGCATGCATGTGTGGCTATGGATGTGATCAGTGTCTGAATGAAAGTAAGAGGCAGGCTGCAGATGCATGCTCTGGCTGATTGTCCTCCTCTGGACATTGGTCGTGTTGAAGAACTTGAGCTATGCGTGCACATCCGTTTTACAGATCCGTCTTACAATATGCGGGTTGTCGGTTCCTCGCCTTAGGTAGATGCACTCCAGTTTCGTAAGAAAAGTAACCCCAGTCAATCGATTAGTTACTTAATGCTAGGGAAAGAAAGGAAAATACAAACTGCTTCAATAACAAGCAGGTTGTTAGAGTCGGCTAATTAGAGGTTAGATTCAATGTCCAAGTACATCAGCCTGACAGGCAATGAATCAACAGTACTCATACAATTAAGCTAGATCTGTGAAACGGATGTGCACGCAAAACGCAGCTTCTGGAACAAGAAGCGTACGAAATACCGTAACCTTTCGCCCAAGTTTACAGTCGGTAAAAGCGAGTAAGAAAAAGATGCATTTTGCATTCCAGCACCCAGTCGATGTTCACCTCATGAAATACGCAGAGACATCTATTCCCACAGTAGCTTTCCCCACCTGCTCGACAACAGTCTCTGTTATAGTTGAGCGTTTTTCACGTGCTTCAGGTTAAAAAAAAAATAGTTTGGATACACTGATGATTTATTTAGGGATCAATAACAGTGAAAAGCAAAGCTGCATAATATTAGTTACGGAGCAAGTGGATTAATGACTGCAGTAGAAAATCTACAGGTGTATTAAACGGATATCGCAAACGTTTAAGTTTAAACAATGGATCAGCATCATGGCTCACACGCAGTAACCCATAGTGCACCGTTCTTCTTCTAACTCAAGTCTGAGTCCGTCTGAAGAATCTAAGCACAGTGCACAGGCTCTGTAGCACCGGCAAAGATCCTTTAATACTTTGGGTACATTTTTTACATCAAAATTTGCCTGGGCAGCGCCGTTAGGCTATTCTTTTCGATTTCCAACTGCCAATGGATTTTTTACGTGCGCAACAATGCACACAAGAGAGCAGGGGGAATTACTGGGAGTCAAAGTCTACCTGAAAAAATCGCAGCCCTTACCGTGGATTGACTCCGGAACCTCTAGCAGTCAAGGCGGACACCATGCCTTGAGACAACGCGGCAGTCCTATGGCAAAGTAGGCTGCAATCCCTATCAATATAACATTTTCAGTTAGTTGCGTATTCTTTACAGGATAAAAATAAAACCAACCCCAGCATTTCTTTTTCTAGGCAAATGTTATCTTCAGTAGTTTTCCATTGCTCATTGAACGGTCAGCGCTCGGTACCACTGTCAAAGACAAAGCAAGATAAATCGTCCGCAGCTGGGATCGAACCAGTCACCCCGACATTACGAAGCGCCTAAGCCACAGACGCCGACCGTAGCAAACACAGAAGGGAAATTTTTTTTAACTTATCCACACTTTATGGAATAGGCGAATCACTCTGTGGTGTCTAATGCTGTTAGCAATAGCATCGCAAAGTGGGGTACTTACTTACCAAGTAATCTAAAAGATTGCAGACTGTTGAGATGCTCAGCCGTGCGAATGCGTAACGCGAGGGTAGTCTACTACATTATATATCCCTAGAAACTCAACATGTATAAAAATGAGAAACATGTGATCAGAGAAGAACAGAAGCAATTTGCAGTCAAGGCATACAACACAATAGAGCATCTCCAGCAACACGGAAGGAATAGAGAAATGTTGAAAGAGATCAGAACACTAACAACAAAATTCAAACATTCAATAAATGTAATAAAAAATGAAAACTGGCAACGCCTTGTTGGAGAGCAAAGAAATACTATTGAGATGGAAGGAGTATTGTGGGGAAATGTAAATACATTTGAAAAACATGCCACATAGTGCCAATGAATTCGAACAGAAAGAGCCCGAACCTCTATTGGAGGAGGTAAGAGCGATAAAGAACCTGAAATTAGGTAAATCTCCGAGATGTGACGAGATACCAGCATAGTTAATCCAGGCTGGAGGACAAGCCAGCGTCATTCTATACCATGCACTATGTGAGAAAATCTGAAACGGCGCTGACTGGCCCAAAATGTGCTACAGATCAGTTTATATTCCGCTGCCGAAAAAAAATATATCAAATAATGTATCAATTATCGCACTATAGCTCTAATTAGTCATGCTAGGAAATTAATTTTTGAGGAGAATCGAGAATAAATTGGAATATGAATTTCATGTTGCACAAGCGGCTTTTAGACTGGGCAGAGGAGCAAGAGACCAGATTTTCAATATAAGAATCATCCTAGAGAAGTGTAGAGAATACCAGATATATCGTCACACTTATTTCATAGACTACAGCAAGACATTTGAAAGTGCAACTGCATAATCTGTGGCAAATAATGACTGTCGTGAGATGAGCAGCCACCATACACAGTGGACGAGTCGGGACGTGATATCCCCCGCGCTCAGCAAAATTTTAAATTTAGACCCGTCCGGAAAGGTATATAGTCCCTTTTATTGATCTATACCTTTATCTGGTAAAATAGTCATTTCTAGACCTTCTAGTTGCTTTGATATATCTTCATTTTCAAACTTGCAACTGTAGGTTGGCGAATTATGGTATTTAATTTATAAATTCCTGTCAACCGGTTTACTCCTTGTTCATGAATACAAAGAACTTCTTTCCTG